GATTAATATCTTTGAATAATTAAATAGATAATCTTTAAGAAATTGAATTTAAATATAATAAGTTTTGTAAAATTAAATATAAAAATATATAAATAATTTCAAATAAGCCAAAAAATATATATAAATATATATATATATATATAGTTTAAATATTAATTAAGCTTATAATTATTATAAAGGGATAGTTATATCAATTGATTATTCTAATTATATAATAAATATATATAATAATAATAAACTAGATTGACTTGTAATATAATTATAAGGATTATATCTATCTTATATACCCTGATCGAGTAACAAAATCGTTTAATTAGATATTAGGGTTTATATATAAAATGAATAGAAGACTATATGGTGATTATAGGAATAAGCACTTCATAGGAGTGCCATGCTCAATCACGTGTTGTTGCACAAGACGGTGAATTCCGTGACATCAAATTTATGAGAATATATCCAGTTATTAATATTATACATTTTAAACCCATACTAGATTCTATACAGAATCCCTATTATTACTCTTTTGTATAAGGGATTCTATAAACCCTAAAATTAATTCCAAAGCGAATTCTTGTTACGGGCATCGATATGGAACCGGCATCGGGCAGATATTATTCTGATGCTGAAGAATTTATATATATATATAGCTTCAAAAAAGAGATTTTAAAGAGATTAATAAAAAGTCTTATTCTAGGCTATATCTATATTTATATTAATTGTTATTTTGTACTTATTCTAACAATTCTTTTTATTCAATCTTTTTAGAATAAATTAGCAATTAGATTTTGGGAATAGCTTCAAAAAACTTTGAAAATAATCCTTTTGGAGATCTTATTTTAATTAAGATCACAATATATTTATAATATACTTAAAATATACTATTGGTATACAATTAATATTATTTATATTAAAATAATCCCATTTCATTTATTAAAACTAAATTGAATTAAAAGCTAAAAAAGAAAAATCTTTAATATAAATCCTTTAAAATGTTTATAAAATATCTCCATAATATATTTTCAATACTATTTCGAAATAAAATAGAATAATTGAATAGAGAAAAAGAATATTGAAAAAAATAAAAAAGTTCTTTTGAAAAAATAAATTCTATTCTAAACATTATTTATGAGATATTAGTAATACTTTTATTATTTTATAAATCTTGTTAAAAAGATAGAGTTTCTTTATAATACTTTAAAAATCTTTTATATAAAAAAGGATTTAATTAGTTATTTTATGAATAATTAGATTTACTAATTGTAATTAATTGTAAATAATTGATATTATATTAAATAGTTTATATCTAATCAAAAACAAAATAGTATTTATTAAAGCTATTTACCTTATAATAAATGTAAATAAACTATTTCCAGGATTTTAGATTATTTTCAGATTATTTTTAGGATTTCTCTTAGATTTCAAGAATTTGGTGGAAAATTAATAAAACTTTGTATTTTTAAATTATTTTTAGAATTTCCTTTAGATTTCAAGAATTCAATAAAAAACTAATAAAGTTCTATATTTTTCAATTATTTTTAGAATTTTCAGAATTTCAGATTTTAAAAGTATTTATTTAATAAGTTTATAGAATTCTATTATTTTTTAGGATTCTTAGATTTTTGAATACTATATATTAATAAATAATTATTGAATTCTAATTTTATAAATTATATATATTTTTGGAAATCTAATAAAAAGTTAGTAAAGTTTTATTATTTCAAGATTTTCTGGATTTTCTAGATTTTCAAATTCTTTTTAATATTTCGAATCTTTATTATTTTAAGAATTTTCAGGATTTTAAATATTATATAATAATAAAATATTATTGAAATTTTAATATTATAGATTTTATAGATTTTATATATTTTTCAAATAAACAAACTTTTAAGATTGAAAGATTAAAAAAAGGGAAATAAAATTTTATTAAATATAAATTATTGTTTTATCAAATTGATTTCTTTTTTTTTTGAATTTTTCAAAATTTTCTAGAGTTTTAAGTTTTAAATTATAAATTGAATTATTTTTAGTATTTTTATATTATAATATAATTCTTTTTGAGAATTATAAAAAAGTTAAATTTTATAAAATAAGAATATAAATATTATATAATTAACTCTTATTATAGAATTTAATAATATTTTAAAAATATATCGATATAATAGTAATTGATTATTAAATAGCTTTAAAAAGCTTTTAAGAATGAAAGTTAGGGAAAAGAGTTTTATTATAAATATTGATATAAAACTAGTATTAGATTAATATTATTTTAATATTAAAGAATTTTTATATATATATAGTTTCAAAAAAGAGATTTTAAAAAGATTAATGAAAAGTCTTATTCTAGGCTATACCTATATTCATACTAGTCGTCACCTTGCACCCACTCTAACAATTCTATATAAAAGAAAATAATATAAAAAAGAAAAAAAAAATGATTGAATATCTAATTTATTTCTTAGAAAAAGAAATAGAATAAAATAAATAAATATTAAATAGAAAAATTTCAAATAGAAACTATTTAGAATTTTTGAGGATTAATTATATATAAATTTAAAGAAGAATATAAAAACTAAATATACTTTTGTTTTAAAATAAAGTATTTTTTATTTACAATATTTGTTATACTTTTGTTACATATAATTACTAAATTAGCTAATCCCGGGCTAATATCTTGACCCTTGATATCATTCTAATTCTAGATCTTCTATTCCATATATAAACCTTATAAACTTCTTATAAATTATTTGAAAAATAGTATATATCTCTTATTTTTTAATATATTTTCTTATTAATCTTTTTTTATAACTTTCTTTATTTATATTTATTTTATAACTAAATATATACTATAAATAATTATAAATATATTAAACTTAGAATTGTATATAATAAATTATTTTATAATATTAAAAGCTTATTTATTTAAAAAGAAGAACAAATATACTCTAAATCTTTATTCTATTAATTTTTATTTCCTAAAATAAAATTATTTATAAAATATAATTCAAATAATTAAATTTAATAATAAAAGGTATTTTTAATTTAAAAATCAAATTTCAAATTGATTTTATAAGTAAAACTCTCATATTAACCAGTTTTTATATATATTATTTATATATTCATTACTTTTGAAATAATTTTCAATAAAATTAATTAGCTTTAAGAAAAATATTATTATTATTATAATTCTTAGGCAAAAGAATTAATATATGTGATTATAAATTTTATAAATATAGTTAAAAAAAAATAGAAAAATTAAAAAGAAAATAGAATTTTTTTTAAATAGGGTTATGTAATTGAAAAATACATCTGCAAAATCGAATCTGAGATTATTATTAAGAGAAAAGACACCTTTTTTTATTCTTATTTCTATAAATAGGGTATAAGAGAAAGTTATTGTATATTTAAATTATTAGCCCATTTCATCTATTCTCAAATATTCAAATATTACATTTTATATATTATCTATTTCAAATTATTAATATATATTATATATAAAAATCAAAAATGATTTTATTTTTATTAAAAAATATTAATAGATAGATAAAAAAAGTATTAAAACAATAAGAATGATGATAAAAAGAAAAGAAATGAATATAAAGGAGAGAGCGAATGAAAAAGATAAGCAACAGAGGAGGATTTTACATAGAGGAGGAAAGATAGAAAAGAGCGACGGAATTGGAAGAATGAGTTTTTTCCTCAAACCTCTCCCTTTTTTCTTTTTAGAAAATCTAATGAAGATATAAATTCTAATACTAATTTAATAATTTCGAAAATAATCTTGAAATTCTAATAGAAAACATTATAAATATTTTTAATTTAAGAGAATTTACAAGAAAAATTGAAAATTAATATAAAAGGATATAAAAATATAGAATGCAATTATAAAAATAAATAAAAAGGTTTTAAAAGAATTAATAATAAAAAAAGAACTAAAGATTAAATATAAGAATAATAAAATAATAAAAAATAATAAAATATTCGAAATTAAAGGAAAAGAAAGAACAGAAAGAACAGAAAAAAAAGATAATATGAAAATAAATATAAAGAAAAATAAGATAAGGAAATATTTAAAAGAAATAAAAACAAAATTAAAATTAAAGGGTTATAGAAATAAAGAAAAGATATTTAATTGAAATTTGTTTATAATTTAAGGAAATTCATTGAAGGGTAGAGATATGTAGAAATAGGGGAAAATAGATTCTATTAATTGATTGTATTATATTGAAGAGAATGAAAGTTTGGAGAAGTGAAGGGAGAAGTACCTAGTACACCTTGGCAAAATTCGTGGCGCGGACCGATAATCCTCCAGAGATCGAAAAGATATTACAAGAGTGGTAGGACAAACTGGGCACGCAGCGACAGTCCACGTACATATATACCTCGAATCAGAATGATACAGCGGAACGAGCAATTCAGACCACCCAATCAAACATTCGAGCAATGCTTAAGGACTCAGCTATGCCTGTCGAATTCTGAGACTATGCAGCAGAAGCAGATGCATACACGAGGAATAGTTTAAGCATAGGACCCTGGGTGGATGTGTTCGAGGTTAAACAGAGACGCGGAGAGGTGCCGGATGATCAATGGCGAGATATGAACAGACAAGCAAAGAAGAAGCAGGTATCACCACATGAAGCATAGACTGGAACAATACCATCGATTGCGCATATCAAAATGTGAGGATCAAAATGCTACTCTCATGTTGACCCAGTGTCTTATTTTAGTGGTACTCGTCGAGATAAACCGGTGGGTCGCCCAAGAATGAGCGTATTTGTTGGATAAAATGATTATATAACCAAACAATTGTGGTCATACGCTCCTGACAGATATGCGGTGATAGAGATAAGCAATTGCACGTTCTTTGAAGGATCACCAGGAGGTAAGATTGACTTGAAACTGCGCTCCATTATCTCAAGGGGAGATTTTGTGGAAGGATATGGGGTGCAGATCGACTACCGGTGGAAAGACCCTGGAGGACTCCCGATGTGGCCACGGATGTAATGCCCATTGAAACCGTTGAACCAGAAGCCGAACCAATTCTCGCCGAAGATAATGAAGGGTCAGCACCGAAGCTGCCCACGCCATCTCGGCCAGCAATCACGCCACAAGTAGTTATCTTACACATGACACTACTACCGCTTGATGTCAAACCAATGGACGCTACGACAGGTGCGATGGAACTTGGAGAATACACTGGAGAAATGACGGGAAAGAGGTCGAGAGAGCAGGATAATGGATCGGATTCACAGGACGCCAAGCGTTTGCGCGCAACCCTCCCCATCATGACAGATCTAGCACTGGACCAACAGTTCTTCACACATTAACAGAGCGACAATGATGCGTTCATCTCAGACACAATCATCACAAATCTAATAGCAAAAGATTTACCGATGCCGAAGACTTACGAAAAAGCTATTAACGGTCCAATTTAAGGAGAACAATAGCAGGTTGCTATCAGACGGGAGATCGAGATATTTGAAAAGAACAAGACATGGCGGCAAATCTACAGCGATGGAACAAATGGGTTAGTCAGTACGGATGGGTATTCACGACGAAGCTGGAAATAGATGGGTCACTAGAACGCTCCAAGGCCAGGTTGATTGCAAGAGGCTTCACGCAAAAATACGGTGTGGATTTTTTCGACACCTTCGCACCCACAGCGCAATCGGCCACTGTTCGACGATTTCTATCTCTAGTGGCATCTCATGACCTCGAAGTACATCATTTTGATATAAAGAATGCGCCCACCGAGACGGAGCTTAAAGAAAAAATCCTTGTCTCTCCACCACGAGGTGTCAATTTGAAACCGGGACATATACTCGAAGTTCTTCGAAGTTTATATAGGTTGAAACAAGCTGCACGCGATTGGAGCGATCTTATAAAGAAATGGCTCATCAAATGGGGTTCTGCACAAAGCCTAGCGGATCCATGCTTATTTACTCACTCCGAGCGTGGGATTATGGGATTATTGTACGTTGACGACCTTCCGAGCGCAGCACATAATCTAGATGACATTCTGTGCTTTAGCAAACAGTTCACTTCTGTCTTTAACACCAAGAACCTGGGGGAGATTGAGAATTCGAAACTTCTAGGCATGAGAATCATAAGAGACAGAAGAACCAGGAGTCTGTACATCGATCACGAAAAATATCTGGAGAACGTGTTGAGCAGCCATGGCTTCACGAAGGAAACTTCCAGACCTATATCAACGCCAATGGGTGGCTATGAGGTGCTTCGACCAGCCAAAGAGAATGACAGGTGAGCAGATCCTATCAATTATAATTGCATGATTGGAGAATTGATTTATACAATGGTATACTCAAGGCTAGACATATCCTTTGGCTTGAGTAAGCTCAGCCAATATATAAAGGAACCAGCGGGGTTTCATATACATCAATTGCGAAAAGTCATACAGTACTTACGAAGGACGATTAGTTGTACATGACGTTTCGAACCAGTGGGAGTTCGAAATCTAATAGTTTATTCTGATGCGGATTATGCTAGCAATATAATCAACAGAAAAAGCACGTCAGGAGTAGATGCAATTTTGGGAGGGGGATCAGTATTCTGGATGAGTCGAAAGCAAAACTCAGTATCGATATCAACAACTGAGTCAAAATACATAGCCCAATCTATTGCAGCAAAACAAGACCAGTGGTTAGCTCAAATACTTGGGGATAAACAATTTGTTGCAGAAAACGGATCCACTGTTGATATGAGTGGAGACAATCAAGGAGCCGTAGCTTTGGTAAAGAACGAACAATTAACTGATAGATCATATGTGGGATCTCAAACAGAAATGAAGGGTTGATTGGTAAGGTACGTAGATTTTGTTACCTTTTGATGTAATTGGTTGAAGGTATTTGGGGAAAAGCGGATCCGATTACACCTAATTTTGATGACAAAAGGGATGGATTCACTACACAAGCAATATTTATTCTTCCATTATTCACGAAATATCACAATTCATTTGCAACAGAATTTAATTCTACCTATTCTCTTTATTCAATTGACTGCTTATTACCTACAAGCCCAATTCCGATTCATAAAACTCGTCATGGAGATAGCTCAAACTGGAAAGCTCTACATTCCGAATAGACCAATCTTACCTAAAAACAGTCCCCTTCACCCCCAACCTTCTCCTTCTCCACACAAGTATCCATACGATTTGGGATACCCCACCAAGCCTACCCCTCTATCCAATATAATCATGCATCTCCGAGTCCTACAGCAAGACTTAGTGGACTACCCCATACCTCAAGTCATCACTCTACTTCGCTAACAGATCATTCCACCACTCTGCTCGATACAATCTGGTTCCAACCCCCCCCCCCAATGTATATCTTTTTTGTTTGCTTATTGCGATATTGCTGGTTCATTAGACGATATGAAATTTCTCGGTTTTGTTTTAAGTGCTATTGAAGTAGTTTATTGTATTCTGTTGAGACGTAGTAGGCAAGGCGTGGTGTGATCGAATGTGTAAAAGCGGATGAGACTGGCAAGTTTGTTTCCGTTGCCTCCATCGAAAGAGAGTCCGGCTCTTGCTGTAATTGGAGGATAAGAGAATGTGCCGATACGGGATCGTTAGCATCGATAGGAATGTATTATGGACTATGAATAACATTGAAGATTTGATTAGTATTGAGAGTGTGGATCGCAGCATCATAAGGGTAGTGATAATCGGCTGTGTGTTGTTAGAATTGGAAATATGTATTGAAGACACCAAAGCTATGCTTACTTCTGACATCAATTCCGGCACTGGCTTTCTGATGACCGCGTATTGTTACAGGGTCTTCGAGTAAGAATTCTCTGGTGCTCATTTTGTCAGAACTCAAGCTAGTAATTCGATAACTTCTCTTGAGTAGAGATTTTAGATTATCGTGAGAGAAAACAGGAACAGCTTTTAGATCGCTTATTAAAGCACAAAAGCACGGTCCAGAATACAGAATGAAGGAGAATTGGTAGTTATGTATTTCAATAAACTTTAGCAAAGCAAACACAGGGAGACAGATTTCTCACAATTACAATTACCTGGTAATCTTTCCCCCACACTCTTGGTCTCTTCATGTTCCATCCAAATTCAATTGGATTATGTTATACGATTCTTCAGAAGATTGCTGTCTCCCTGAAATACCGATATTGGGTATTGAGGACTATGTTAATGAGGATAACCGTGGCATTTGACCCCACCCACAAGGCAATCGAGAAGCTTCATTCAATCTCAGTTGTTCTCCGGACGATGTACTATGGCCTAATACGGTAGAAAGTGTGGGTATTATCAATGAGCCCATTGATTACTCGTACCTGTCGCAAGTTCAGGTATAGTGACCTCATATGACATGACTCTTTTGATTTGAATTAACAATTTGAAAAGGATAATCTCGAAACCTCACCATCATCAAAGAGCATATCATCATCTTCCGCAAACTTACCAACTACACTCCCAGTATCTAGTTCAGAAAGATCAGCAGATTTCCATCAGAGAAGAGTCGAAGAATATACAAAGGAAGGATGGCATGAGCTTTTGCGTACTCCCTCCCGTGAACCATCTGGAATACGAAAACTTCGGCAAAAAGAGATACAGCGTATAATCGTTTTACGATCAAGCGCTGCTTATCTCAAACTGCAATATGGTGAACATCATACGGCAGCTTCATTGGCTTACGAGCGTGGGGATGAGGCAATCGAGCCTTGTTCTTATTGTAGGAGGGAAGATAGGGGGACATTTAAAAACTGTGTTGTTATGCCAGGTAGATTCTCCGGAGCTTGTACCAATTGTAAATTTGTCAATAGGGGTTCCCTCTTTACATTACACAATAAAAATGGTAATTTCTCTCTCCTTCCAGGACTATATTTATACTGATTATTTATAGCAGTGAAAAGCCAATCATCATCTCAATCCTCATCCCCCTCAGAGCCATGCACGAAGATAAATCCTTCCTCATCTCCCTCAGAGCCACCCATCAATATCACTCCCTCCTCTCGATCCTCATCTCCGTTAGAGTTATGAGATCACCCCGTCCTCACATTCTTTAACTAAAATTGATCAATCTTCATTTAATGAATATCAGTCTTCTGTGGAAGGATGGAAAGATCAATTTTCAATAGTTTTGGAAGCAATGGATACCAAGGAACGGAAATGCCTTCACGAAAAGATGGTTCAAATGACTCGAATAATTGATCGAGCACCTCAAAATACTCGGATCTCAGACTTAAATAATCCTAGTCTTAACATTCATTCGGCATCGCTCGCAATCGGAAGCCAGGTATCACATTGATCATTACGGAGACAAGATAGAGTTAGGGCAAAAGGTAGTATATCTTATGATAATGATTCGGAGAATTTGAGGAGTTTGCACATTTTTCTTTTTACTTTTTTTTATTAATATTAATTTTGGAACACATTAATGAATGATTAGAGAAACATGGTGACTGAATGTCTTAACAAAATTGCTGAGGAAACTATGCGGATATTCTGCACATCATGCCCATCATTGTCAAGTGGACCAAGATGGCTGTAGTATGCTAGTACTAGCTTTGACTCTATGTACCAACTAGTTTATAAGGAATCAATTGTTTGAAGTATTTTCAATCCAAATTTCTTTGTCAGTTTGTCTGGATATTGGGATCAAAAGTAAAGATCTTGTAGTCAAAAATACAAGCTTTAAAAAGTCTGACACCCTATCATGGTGTATCTTGAAGAGAGTCAGAGTGACTGCTATAGAGAGTGAATGCGGTTTATGGAATAGTAGGATGTTCAACAGCATTTTATTAAGGTAATCAGACTGTATATCGCATCATGAGTTCTCATTACATTGACTGGAGACGTTGATGCTGCGTGGGAAGAGATGTTTGACGCGTTGTTGGAAGGTACAGGAGACTCGTTCTCGATATAACCTTGAAACCTATTCAACTGTTGGTGGGGATAATACTAGTAATTCTGACTGTTGTTGTTGTTGTTGTTGTTGTTGTTGTTGTTGTTGTTGTTGTTGTTGTTGTTGTAATACCCTCTGAGCCACGTTCTTGAAATTCATTCTGAGTCTAGGATCCGCCGGCCGTGGCCAGTAAGCCACGGCCGGCAAATGCACCTCAACCGGCACCACGGCCTTGAGGACCGGAAACTCTAGCAGCCCTCTGTTCATCGGCATTTTTCTTGGCCCTGCACTCTTAAACCGAGTTTCCCGCCTTCTTGCAGTAGTGGCAGAGGCCAAGACGACGTTCCTCCTCCCATTGCTGTTCTCGCATTTTGATAGCGTCGAGATCCATAGGACCTGAATGTGTTGGGGTAGAGGTGGTCGGTGTAGAGGCCTGAGTCTGATTGTGAGCGTTGGTCATCTTAGATAATCCTGCTAGATGTTCGTTTTCTCGCATGTTCTAATTCCAAGCAGAGAACTTCTTCTTCCAACCCTCTGGATCATCAAGAGCACATGGGTTTGAGTCTCCGAGCACAAAACTACGCAATTCGGGTGTGAATTTTTTGTTTCATTGCCGTTACCATCTCCCGGCTAATTTAGTGATAACAGCACCAAGATGCTCCAACTGTGTAAGGAAGGAGAAGGATTGGGTATTAACCATCTTGAGCTTATCAAATTTGATGGCAGCCTCTCGTTCGATGTCGATGGAAATATGGAAGTCGCCGAATTTCTTAAGGAAATAGTTGGTGATGGTACGGGTTGATGTTTCCTGAATAATATCGTCAATATCTTTCATTCTTTCGATCTGCGCATAGCCTTCAATCAAGGAGGACAAATGCAAACACTTCTTTCTTTGTGAGTCAACTGTCCAACAGAGCTGCAGTCCCTGCTTCCAGACACAATACTATTCTTATCATATCATCGATGATATTTTTTCTCCCTTGAAGGATTCTGGGTTCCTCGAGGTTTGACGACGGGAACTGCTGCCACCTCCAACAATCAGGTTCTATATATCCAAGAACTCGTTTACTCGGCGTTGGGTATCTATTTGTCCCTCGAGGGAGTTCGAGTGCTATAATAGTGCTATAAAGATTCTCGATTACAGCTTTAGCAACGTCGCAGATGTGGTTGATGCAATCCTGTTTTTCTGTTATAATTTTTGCGAGTACAGTAGAATCTTTTAGCCCGTTATCTGGAATACTAGCAAGCTCGCTCGCGAGTCATTGCCATTGATTAAAAAGGTTTTGAATAGTTGCACGAATAGCTTCGGCGGAACGAGCCGGAGTCTCCCTCCCCAGGAGCGGCAGTTGTATTAGCCATATGGAACGTAATACAGGTAACGAAGACAAAAAATGATGCCGGGATAGGAATCTTGACAAACAAAGACAAATACAAGAACGAGGAATACACAAAAAAGGCGTCTTCCCTTGAAGCCCACCGGTCGGCGAAAGTAGATGTTGATTTTTTTCTTTTCCTATCAAGGGCAAATTGCGACAATAGAAGCGGGAAGTTTAATAAGATAGAATATACTATCACGGTACAAGTAGATAGAACCTAGTAGGCATTAGATAAGACATGTGATATTCTATCTCCTTTAGCATCAGAATGGATGGAGAAGATGATAGAGAAGAGCCTTGAGGGAATTTACCTTAGGTCGTAGTAGGTATGCAATGGTATCTCCAGTTCACTTAGTTTGCAGAAGTTCATAAAGGATTGGTAGAGATGATATAGTACCCTAAGAAAGAGGAAGTAGTATTTGAGTGCTAGCTAGTATGCAGAATACTGTACTGATCCCAATCATGTCTCTTCACTAAAGTATGTAACTCCGCCACTGTGGACAATTCCTCTAGATCTCATTATCCCTCTGGAAGAAACATTCAGCGCCATCCACCCATCTTTCACCCATGACTTTCTACATCCCAACCAAACAAGTAAACTACTTTACTTATACCTAAATCCACCAACACCTTATCGACACCGAAATATGAGTTGGAATACCGCGAGGAAAGTTTTAGATATTCGACTTGAATCTTATCAAACTTTTGGAGACTTGATTATCCAATAGACCAAATATATGTAACCCTGTTCATCAAATAAATTAGCACAGACTCAATTTTAGTAATAAATAAAAACAAACTACTTACTGGGGCGGCGAGGATAACAGCGATTAATGCAAAAGCCCATTGTTGTTTGCCTTTCGAAAACAAGAGACTAGCAATTAACAGAGCAATACCCATAGAAAACAATATACATAAGCATATTATTGGGAAGTGCGAAGAGACAGTAACGGTAACGCCCGCGAAGAATATCTGGAAGGCTGCTTGGAGGCTGGTGAAGACTATCTGGAAGGCTGCTTGGAAGCTGGTGACGATTTGATTAACAGTATGGAGGATCGCAGAGGTACTCTGGACAGCGCAATCGTTTTGTTGAAAATACACGTTGGAGAGAGTGGTTAACATGCTAGAGAACATCCAACCCCAAGTCATAAATGTTGCGATAATCCAAAATGACAAAGGTAATTCTTTCAAAAATTCCACAACTCTCTTAATATCAAAGTATTGGGAATTATTTTGATAGAAAGTCCAGATATTCTTCATGAATTCCATTAGGGCTTGATTGTTGAAGTCCATGTTGAAGTAAAGTATTGCAGGAAAGAGAAAAGTTGTAGGGAATCGGAGATATCTGAGAATCTTATAGTGGGAGTTGCTGAGAAAGCTATAGATGGTAGCTGTAGCAAATGCGGTAGCGAACAGCATACCTGTCCACAAAATAATTTTGGTCGATGTCATGGTGAATTCTGCAAAATTTCCAAAGGTTGGATAGGCAAGTTGGAATAGAGAGTTGGATGAAAGATGTTGCGAGTTGTAAATTCGAGTCGAGTTGTAGGTCGTTTCATGAAACTATATAGATACCTACTACTGTCTACTCTCGTTACCGAGAAATTAACCGAGAGATTTGACAAGGGCAAGGTGCTTTGTCCTGTGACTTGTTTTCCGAAAGCTATACAACCACTTAGGACTGTGGCTCAACAGATTCATTCCAATTATTTCTCAGTAAAGATTCTTTAAAAAACAATCAATCAGACTCAAACTATTACCTAGGTACCATACACTTTTATCTTTTTCTGCCACATTTTTTTTTTCATACTCCATTACCAGAATCATTCAATATCTATACCTATACATACTACTGGAAGTTTGGATCAAATGCAATTTTCTATTGAATCACATATTCACTACTTGTATTCATTCGAAAAGAGGATCAGGATTTCATACTTGATATTCGCATATACGGCCGAGAAAGAAGAAAGATAATCATAGAAATTTGAAGAGGATGTGAGCTGTGTAAAGAACATGATAAACCTGGTCTTATAATCTAGATCTATAGTATGCTGTGACAGTGGAATGAGGAAGGCGTGGCAGGAGAAATCAGAGACTGTGATTATCGAAGTGGATAAGGGGCAAGAGGAAAGCATGGTCTGGGAGAGGGGAAATAAAGAAAGGGGGATGCTAATGGTGGACTGAAAAGGTTAGGGAGAGCAAATGCTATGTACTTCAATATGAACTTCCCGAAGCGCTGCTACATATGAGTCACCGAACGCAGTTTCATATTTTCTTGATCTAGTCCATTTCATATTTAGCCATATTAAAGGAAAGCAATGGGAGAGTTTCCCAAAAATTAACACTATCACCATGGGGATGGTGAAGACAATAATATAGTACTATAGTTCACACTATTGTAATATCACTTGAGGTTCTAAAAGCTAGGGCTGCGATACATCTATACTACAGAGTCGAATACTTCCCTCTCCCCTCGATTAGGGAATTACTTTAATTGCTATTATCAGATTCACTTAAACATATTATATAATATTCTATATCTTTAGTAATTATTCAATAAAAAATTCTATTGAAATGAGAGTTATTAGAAAAGTGGAAAAATAATCTAATTAATATATTAAAATATAATTTAATAATTTATTTATTATAAAATTCATCTTGATTTTTAGATGTTGTTTTTTATAATTAGATTTTACAAAATTTAATTAATTCAAATAATAAATCAAATTCAAAATTTAAAAGTTAAATGAGAAGTAAATCAATCAGATATACTTACTATATTTTAATTAAAATTTAATGATAAATTAAACTGTTAAAATTCAATATTCTTTTTCTTTTTATTATAATTATATTTTATTAAAACTATCTAATTTTCTTTCGAGTTATGTTTTTAATTCTCTTTTAATATTAATTATTATATAATATAATTATTTATCTTCTTAAAGATTCTACTCTAATTTTATTTTTTAAGTCTTTTTTTTATTACTTAATAAAAAACTAATATAATTAATAAAGCCAAATCCTTTTATTTTATTTTTTATTAATTTAATTTTTATATCAAAAAACTCCATATTTTATTTATAATTGAAGATTCTATATAATAGAATTAATTTGTAACTTTTGTTTAATATTTCAAAACTTCTTTATTTATTATATAAAAACCTAATATTTAATTTAATAATAAATAAAATCTGTATTTATTTTTTAAAAATTAAGAACTTAATTTTTATTATAATTAGTCTTTTTATTTGAAAATCAAGCAAATAATGTATTAATAACACAGTCTAATTTATTAGAATCAGAGAATCTAATTAAGTAGTAAAATAGGATACACAAGAGCCTTTTAAAGAATTATATTTAATTATTCTTTTTTTTCATCTTAATAAATTTAAATTATTAAAATTAATTAATCATATTAATGTTTATATAAGTTTTTAATATTAAATTAGTAGTAAAATGAAATTGATTTGTAAATTTATATAAGATTATCAATTTCAGAACTAAATAAAGTTTATCTTGAATTAAAAAAAGAATATCTATTAACTGAAATATTTTTCAAAATATATATTTTTTATTAAATTCTAATAATAATAATAATTCTATATTTTATTTATTATAATAAAGTCTTATATGTTACATAATCTGTTTCCTATAATAATATTTACAATTGTTTTTTTAATAATTTAAAAATAATAATCAATTCTCATTCAATTTTTAATATATTTTATAAAATATTATATAAAGCTTTTCTTTCTTTTAAAAAAATAACATTATATTATAATAGCTTTTCAATAATATATACAAAAAACTATTTTATAATTTTATTATCTTTTACTTTTTTATATTAATAATTTATATACAAATCTGAGTTTTTGAATTATTTCAAAAAATAAAAGGTCATTAATTTGAAAAGAAGAAATAAAAAATAAAAAAAGAATTATTTAATATTATAATAAAATTAAAATAATAATAATCTAATAATAATAAAAATTAAAAAAAGAAAAATAAATTTAAGTATATTATTTTCAAAAATCGATTTATAATTTCAAGAATTTCAAATTTCGAATTATAAATTAAATTATTTCTAATACTTTTATATTACAATATAACTCTTTTTGAAAAAAAATAAAAAAACTAAATCTTATAAAATAAGAATATAAATATTATATAATTAACTTTTACTATAGAATTTAATAATATTCGAAAATATAGTAATATAATAATAATTGATTATTAAATAATTTTAAAAAGTTTTTAAAATAAAATCTTAAGAAAAAGAGCTTTATTATAAATATCAATATAGAATTGATATTAAATTAATATTATTTCAATATTAACGAATTTTTATATATATATAATTTCAAAAGAGGTTTTAAGGAGATTAATGAAAAGTCTTATTCTAGGTCTATACCTATATTCATACTAGTTGTCATCTTGTACCCACTCTAACAATAATAAAACAAAGCATATTATCACGACGCCAACTACATGTTCTATAGTTGCCTTCGTGCCTCAGGCATAGACCACTAGCGTGCCCTACTTCTTATAAGTAGGGCCTCACTCTTCCATAGCTCTTCTACTCTTATGATATAATATAAGTCTTTATCTATATCTTGACATATACAAATTCAAAAATTGATATTTTGAAACTCTAAATCTCAATCCAGAAAAATTCCTAAAATTCTAAAAATTTTAATATGAGTTTAGAATGATTTAAATTATATAAAAATAAATTTTTATTAGATTATATTCAATATTGATAGAGATATTGATAAATCAAAAAAGTGACTTTTGGTGTAAAAGAGTGACCCAAAACAGGGGTGGCCTGAAAGTAGGGTGGTCGACTTAACAGTAAACTTAAAACCTGCTAATTCCTTGAGAAGGTGGGGCCGTTCCATTTCCTGGAGCTGTACCGTTACCACCTTCACCACCCTCACCTCCACCGCCGGAGAAGCTGGAAGTGCTAGCATGTCCGCCATCAGCTTGGATGGTGGCTGCGACGCTATAAAAATCATCATCAGACCAATCTGCAGTGGTGTTGATACCGATTTGAATCCAGGCCAATAATCCATCGGTGATATCGTCACTCAAATACATGAATTCTGGGAAAGGATCGAAGTCGTTCTCGGCTTGGACGATGGACCACATATCGTCAGCATTGGAAGTAACGGCTTGAGTGTTTGTATTGTATGGGTATGTGGCTTCGACTGCGCTGCGGAGAACTTCGTTCCAGAAAAGTTGGCCGATGTGGGTAACGGCGCCTCCTTGGATAGTGTTGTTTGCAAGGACGGTAACGTTGGAGTGAGCGAGGAGATGGGTATGTGTAGCACGTCCATCATAATGACCTGGGAAGATAGTATCGAAGGTTGCGACTCCATCAGAGTCGGTAGCTTGGATACCTCTCAAGAAGGTAGAATCGTAGCCATCATCGGCGACATTTCCGGTGACATTGATACCACCATAGACACCAGTGGCGTTAGCGTTCCAAATATCGACGTAGACCTCGGGAACGGGCTCGCATGTTGTGATGTCGATGTATTGAACCTCAAGATGGAGAGGGACACCAGCTTGTCCTTCAGTAACGTCTTGTCGGATAGTTTCGCCAAGAACGTAGTAAGGACCATCAGTATTGGCAGGAGTCAAAATGCAAGAGGTGTTAGCAGCAAAGATGGTGGATTCTGGGGTATTGACGCTGTAGTCGAGAACACCGGTTTGATTGTGGTTGATAGCTTCGTAGACTTCAAGGGTGGCAAGGTCACGACAGAACTTCTTGGGCACTGTAGAATTATATTAGTATTGATATTTCTGTAAAGATGTCGCATGGTATAGTTTTTCGTATGGAATCAAAGTCCTAGGAATTAGTAGGTGCTACTTACAGGTCTTGATATCGCGCTTGGCACGGAGAGAACGAGCAGCTTCTGCGCGACGAGCAACGGATCGTGCGTTAAGTTGACGATGCTTCAAGGATCCAGAGCAAGAATCGAGAGATCTTTTGGCAGCGGAAGCCATTTGGTCACGAGCAATGATTTCTCGCTTGATAGCATGGTGATCATGGTGTTCTCCAGGATGGGCAATAACAGGTGCAAGGCAAGCTGCCGAAAGAGCAATGGCTAGTATGGAGATTTGAACCATCTTGACTGTTTAAGAATGGAAATCCAAAAGAGTGCTTTGAGTTCAGATTTAAAGAGTGAAGTGGAAGTGAAGATGAAGAGGATGATGGTGATGAGAAAGAGAGACGTAGAGAACCTATTTGTGTTCCTGAAAGTATTAGTTGTTTATTTTGAAACTATACTCCCTACAATGTATTCTCCGTTCACCAACACCGCCATCGTGTTAGCAAGTCGTCACCATGAATGTCACTGACATCCACCATCACCAGCAAGGTCAGTGGTAGATTCAGTCTTGGCAAATATAAGGCCCCTGCTGTCTTCGCAATGAACTTCGTAAGCTTCAGTTGAAGTCAATCCATTTGTTTCGAAACATCTCATTCATTATTGGCCCAAACCACTTCCAATAACGTGCACCGTTCACAGTGTTCTTCTTACTCATTACGGACTATGATATGGAGAATTCCCCATCAAAAATGTCGTAAGGTTTCATAATGGAGTGCAACTCACTGGAGAACCAATGAATATGACTGTATAACAAATATCAATCCTTGGTCCCTAGCCTGGTCATAACGGTAGGACGCGCAAGTATTCTCCGTAGGAAGAGACTTAACTATAAGCTTGTAAAGTACCACTACGATTTGCCGTCCTAAAGCTGACTAGGGAAGAGGGTCAACAATGCTTTGAGTACTCTAAGGTATCTATTGTTCAAAATTTAGTCAAAATCCAATCCAGCTTCCGGCCTCTTCCATGAAGCAAATGAGCAACTTGCAATATTCTGTACCAAAAATACCATCAGACGAATGCCACAACAAGGTCGTAGAACTCGAATCATGAATGAGGCTTAATCAATCCAAGTCTTACTCTTTGCAATACTGATGATCAAATCGCAAGGGAACACTAGTTCTAGCCCCTACAATCCCTTGTATCCACGAAGCAGATCCAACGTAAAGTAAATTTACCATCCAATGCGTCGTATGCTTTTACAAATTTCCATATGCAATTCCACAGGCCAACGTTGTAGAACAAATCTAGTTTCGCTTCTCTCTTAAACATTTAAGCATAAACCCCCAAAACTCTGAAGTATCATTGGAGGAGAGCGGGGTTGTCGTCGCATGCCCTTAATTGCCAAGCGATCGGACTCGTCATCCCTATGAATTGCCGGAATCCACATGGGCTGGTGGGATGCTCCACTAAAGAATCTCAGACTTCTCCTTGCCGTTATGAGAGAGGACTCGGCTACCTCTTTCGATACTTAACCTTATATCGACATTATATCATTCTGACAAAATTGACTGAGGGCGCAAGAATGACATTCTCCCAGTGCAACACGAATCTTCTTGATTTTGATAAGGACGTCGCGAGCAAAACGTTTCATATCTGGAAGAAAATTGGCAGTGCTCTCGATACATGACAATGCACATGTATTTCTCAATAAACCTAGCTCGATTCAAAATGAGTGACATTCCACAAGAATATAAGTGGCTGATATCTTCGGATAATAAGAACCCCCTGGAATTTCATCGCATTAATTTTGACAAGATGTCTGTTCGCGGAAGAAGTGGGTGTTTGGAAGTTTGGAACCCGCAAAATCTTTCGAGAATACACGGTTAATTGCTTGAGTCGAAAAAGGTACAGTGAGTATTTGTGGGCTTTCAGATCAATGTGTCTAGATCGGGTTCGTTGTTGCGCTGGTTAATGGTACTGTTGAGTCTTGAAGGCCGAATTAAGGTTCATGTTTTCATTCTTTTTCCCTGTCTGATGTTTCCTTGACAAGTGGGCTGCAAAGGGTGTGATTAGTGCCATTATGCTGAGTCATCCGTAAGATATAGGCTGTTGAAGCTTAAGGATTACTATCACAAACGAAACCATTTCCACAAACAAGCAAGACTTTTAAGATAATTGTTATCTTCAGGATAATGTTTAAATCGAGAATTAGAATAATTGTGGTAGACGTAGTGAAATTAATCATTCACCAGCCATCAAAGTTTACTTGCAAATGCTACGAAATCCGTTGGTTGACACTTGCTATTGAGAGAAAGTATTGGCTTAGAAGATGGTTAAAGAAATCATAAAAATTGTCAACGGGAAAGAAGGGATTTGTATGAGTACTTCGAAAGTACCCTGGGTTCTACGTGTATTGAACATTCGAGCTGTGAGTTTTCAACTGCTGCTCCATACCTTCTTTCCTAGCACCCAAGTCTCTTTTACATACCCTTGTTTATCCATCACCACAAAATCCCCTCTGCAGCCGGATTCTAGGCCACCTCTATCCACCAACCCCATCGGAGCTGCTACGTTTTCAGTGACTGTCATCACGGCCTTCTCGATTGGTATGTTTGCCCATTCCATCAGATTTCTGACGCACTGATCCAGTGGAATACAAGTACCAACAAGGGTTTCAGTTCCAGCTATAGTCACTTTGTTCCCTACTTTGAGCTGTGGATGCGGGATCTGGGAATGGCCAGGATAAATACCATCTGGAAGACCGGAAAGCTCGATGGAATCGGTTACTAAGATAGCCTTTTTTGGAGAGGCGTGATAGGCCATGGATACTATTGATGGATGAAGGCTTTTGGTTGTCAGCATGAAGGCAGGCCACAGGAGGAAAAAAGAAAAATGATTGGGATGATGGAAGAAAAGAAAGAAAAATGTGATAGGACGAGGAGCAGGGCGGGATAATCTAGCATTTTAAAGCCTGGCCGTAAATCTTGCTGCCACTATCCCCATGGAGAAGTAAAAATTTGACGCAATAAAGTGAGTTTGAAGACGACAGATTTGAACTACCACATATCTCGATTCAGGTTCAAATGCATGTGAGCTGAATAGTTTACTCACTGAATAGAGTCGGCAATTAATGAGAAAGACGGTTTCCATCGGTCTCCAGCTTTTGGACTAGATATTAGACCTATGAACGCTTAGCTCGGTTTTCAGCCCAATTCAGTCCAGGGTATACTTCAGTCTCAGCTGTAGCCTAACAATCAAAGATTCTCAATGTCTGGATCCAGTTGGGGGTTTCAAATAATTGAAAACGACAGATCCATTTTGGAAATTATATTGCTGCCAAACATTGAGAGCTTCTGATCGTTCGACTGCACGCCGGACTGTTGGAAACCCCTCGAACTTTAGTTTAGCTTACCAACTAGGCCTGGCTCCCTATGATGCAAAGGATTCATAGCATTAAAGGTGTGAGTCAAGAGAGATGCACCGGCGTCCATACCCTTCAACCCCTGCTCATAGGTGGCCGCACTATGTCCCATACTCACTGAAATTGTGTATTCCTCTCTCAGTTTTTGGATATGCTCCAATGCCCCTGGTAGCTCTGGAGCCATTGTCACAATTCGAATCGCATTTAAGAGATTGTTTCTTTCATAGACATCTTCAAGAGTCGAAGTTTCGGGAATGAGCAGATTTCCGGCATTGTGGGCACCCTTCTTACTCGGAGTGAGGAAGGGTCCTTCAACGTGTGCACCCAATACGCTGGCCCCGGTAGATGAATTGGATGGTCTCAGAAATGGTAGGACGTTATGAAAAACATCAGGTTGGACGGTAGGTACTGTGGGGTAGAACGCAGTCACTCCTGTGCTTGGGAGATATTGCGATAACTTTTGTACACCATCATGATAACTGGTAGGATCGAGATAATTTGCAAAATGGAAACCCAAAGCACCATTGATTTGCAATTCAATAAAGCCAGGAGCGATGATACTGTCTTTAAGGTCCACCACTTCCGCACCAGCGTCACAAGATTGGTTGTCAATTATCATACCATCTTCATTGATATTGAGAGGAGAGTTATCTAGGTTGCCGTGGGAACATTTCCAGCAATTGATGAAACGAGTATGCCCCATATCAAGCGATTGATAAATGTGTCGTAAGAAGTAATGGAGGTCGTTGTATTGTAACCTTACAACTGATGTCGATTTTGATATTGATGCCGATATTCTATACTAGGACACAATCAGGGACAATGTCCATATATAATGAATGTCTCCAGAGATAGATAGCCAACTTCCAAGATACTCCATTGGTCACAAATGATCAGACCGACAGCAGACCAACCAGGGAAAAGTATAGTGACTGGGTAGAGATTTATAGGTCGAAGCTACCTCCACATAGCTACATGGTATCGACACCTACCTACGCATGGTGAGTATGCTTTGTGTATATCCCCTGTATCAAGACAGGTTGTGCCCCTCATCTTGGCCCTGTCAAGTAAGAGTATGTGCTTAGGTAAGCTGACAGCCTCTAGGTAGATCATCAGTTCGGAGAACTTTCCCCGACCACAAGAATTCTCGAGCATCATCGTCGCAATTATGAGCCTCAATCAATTTCAACAACATAGAGAGCAACCGGCCGTGTTTCATGATATCTGCTCATTCCAGAGAGAAAATCAAGAATTTTGTACATGTACATAACACAATGCCGCTTTGTGATTGCGTGGCTGACGCTTGGCTGAAGAATGTCTCCAGTGAAGCTCTCAAGCTACCTTAATATGACATCACTTCCTACCGACCTAGCCATTTTTCCTTGTTATGCAATTCCACATCAATTCAAAACAATTATTTTTACTATGGCTAGGCAGGTAATGACTTCTAAGCTTCTGTTGTCTTCTTCATTCCTTTTCTCATGATCCTTCACACTCATAGTCAATACCCAATTCTCTCTTTTACAATCTAACATAACAAATTTACTGTCAAGGCAGTAAGAAGGCAGTAAGAACATCTTCAATTGCAGTTCTTGTTGATCAGAAACGGCAGTGTGGTTTGCTATTTTGGTCGATCAGGAACTCGTCCCGCAGATACTTTCCCCGCTTTCCCTCCCGCCTTTAACATTCGAACTCAATTCAATAATAATAATCCTCCATCTTCATCAAGATGTCGAACGATCATAAGAAAGGTCCCGGGGCACATTACTCCGGCTCCAACCCAATTCCGAACATTCAACGATTCGTGGAGAGCTTAGATTCGGATAAGAGAGATAGAGATGCAAAAATAAATGAACAATTGCAATCACGCGTTCAAGGAGATGCGACAGATCACACACAAGGACAACCACATGGAGTTGAAGGGACGAGGAAGATCGTTACCGACCCAACGACTGGAAAAGATGTGGAAATTGAGGATGTTAATGCGGATTTCATGAAGTCGGTTGATAATCCACAGGTATGCTACATCCATCAGCTTTATTGATTTTTATATGTAACTAACAATTGTGGCAACAGCTTTCCGTTCCAAATGCAAATCTTAACAAATCCACACCAGTCAAGACAGAAGCTACTCAATCCGGTGAAGAATATAGAAAGAATCAGGATATCACCGCGCCACCAGATCCAGTAGAACCTGGAAGCACTTCCGATGTTCCAATCCATGGAGAAAAGACAAATATCTTATTCCACCCTACACCCTCGGTCAGCTATGAACCAATGTATGAATCTTTGGAGAAACGGTCAACGCTACTTGTCGTAGGAATATTCTTGGGTATTGTGGTTTTAGGGAAACTATTTGGGGGGGCTCTATATGGTCTTATTCCTTTAGGAGCATGTGTTGCATCGGGTGTATTTCTTTGGGTAAAAGAGGTCATAAGATCTGGCCGAGCTATGGAATGGGAGAGTGAAAGACAAAGGGGTCAAATGGTTGGTATAACCCTCTCACAATTGAGTCTTTGAGCTAATATTCTCAGGCAACTGCAAATTTGATTCCGGAATCCGTGGAATGGATGAATTCTCTTTTGGGCGTTATGTGGGGACTGATTGACCCCGATCTATTTGCGTCTGTTGCAGATACCCTTGAAGATGTTATGCAAGCTTCAGTACCTGGTATCATTGAAAATGTCAGAGTCGCAGAAATCAACCAGGGAACAAACCCTTTCCGAATTCTTAGTTTGCGAGCCCTACCTGATGGTCATGTTCAAGAAATGAAGGATGATATCCATCGACAAAACGAGAAGAACAAAGATCCTCAAGAATTGGCTGCTGATGAAGAAGGTGGAGATTATTACAATTTGGAATGCTCTTTCGCATATCATGCTCAACCTTCAGGAGGAGGAACTTCCGGAAAGGCGAAAAATATGCACATGCAACTGGTATTCTATCTTGGTATGAAAGGACTTTTCGGGGTGTAAGTTGTTATTTCCTTCCCATAAAATGATATTACTAATCAATTCAGTCCTCTCCCAATTTTTGTTGAATTGCAAGGTCTTGTCGGAACCGTTCGATTACGTCTCCAACTTTCACCAGAGCCTCCCTTCTTGAAGGCACTAACATTCACGTTGATGGGACTTCCAAAGGTTCAAGCTGGATGTGTGCCAATGATTGAAACTGGCATTAACATCCTTAATCTTCCTCTTATCTCCAATTTTGTCAATTACGCCATTGGTGCTGCCGCTAATGAATATGTCGCTCCGAAATCTATGACTTTAGATATGGCTAAATTACTGAAAGGTGACGATATCCAAAAGGATGTTGAAGCACTCGGGGTTCTCTGGATCCGAATTCATAAAGCTACTGGCCTTAGTAAACAGGATAGACGTGGAAGTGATGGTGGTGGCAGTGATCCTTACATCACTGTCAGCTTCTCCAAGTACGGAAAGCCAATGTACTGCACTCGAGTCATTCAGGATGATCTCAACCCAATATGGGAAGAGACGTGTGCCTTACTCGTCACTCCTGATCTCATCAAAGCTGATGAGCAACTTTCGATGGAACTTTGGGATTCTGATCGATCAACTTCTGATGATGTTGTTGGTAAAGTTGAACTTTCCATGCAAAAAATGATTCAACACCCAGGAAAGATGTATCCACAAGTTTCTAAACTCCGTGGTATGGATTCTGATAGTTCCATGCCTGGTGAACTTCATTGGGAAGTTGGATATTTTGGCAAACCACAATTCAGACCAGCAATGAGAAGCCACGGAAAAGATGTTAATCTTCCCAAGGAATTGCAAGACAAGGAAGAATTACAAGATCCAAAAGGAAGTCTTGATACTCCTGAAGAAGATGCTGCGGTTCATACTCCTCCCGATCCATTGTGGCCAAGTGGTGTGTGCAGTGTCATCGTTCATCAGATTGTTAACCTTGAATTACAAAACGTCAAAGGTAGTGATGGCAAACGCAAGGGTAGGGAATTCGAACCAGCAGTGGACGCAGGTGAGAACAAGGAAGAGGAAAATAAGAAGTTGCCAAGCAGTTACTGTACGATTTTATATAATGACGAGTTGGTATGTATTGTTTTCCGCTATGGTTTATTATAACTAACCTCTACAAGGTATATCGTACACGTTCCAAAGTTGTTAGCTCAAAACCTATCTTCAATGCAGGTACTGAACGTTTCATCCGTGATTGGAGATCAGCAATTGTTACTATTACAGTTCGGGATCAACGTATGAGACAACACGATCCAATTCTTGGAGTTGTCCCTTTGAAGTTATCGGATCTTCTACAAACAAGTTCTCAAGTTACAAGATGGTATCCTCTGGATGGTGGAATTGGTTTCGGTCGCGTCAGAATCTCCGTTCTTTTCAGGAGTGTCGAGACCAGATTACCACCACAACAATTGGGCTGGGATGTAGGAACATTTGAATTCACATCTGATAGGATTTCGGCTACTGGCTATGCCAACAACTCCAAACTGAAGCTTCGAACTGGAGGGAGTGTAGGAAAGATTAACCGTACTCAATGCCGAAAGACTGAAGAAGGTGATAGTGTATACTGGGATCTTGCTAAGAAAGATGGGAAAAATAACATTCGACTTCCAGTCAAGTATCGTTATCGTTCACCAGTAGTCTTCGAATTCCACGTCACTGGTAAGCGTGGAGCAGATGCCTATGCAGTAGTCTGGCTCCACAAATTGGAGGACAACAAGGCGGAAGAAATTGATATTCCGATCTGGAAAACTGATAAGGGCATGAGACTTACCCAGAATTACATCACAGAGGAAAACTTCCGTGAAATTCCAGACATGGAAATTGAGGAAATTGGCCGCCTCAGATTTTCGGGGAGATTTAAAGCTGGTATGGATCAAGATCACGAAAAATTTGTCACCGACAATGATTCCCGAGAAACTCAAGAAACTTGGGAAGCATGTCATTCCGAAGGTGTACGTGGTGATGTTGTAACGAAAGAGATTCCACCAGTTGTTCAACAACTTCATGATCAGTCTTTGACTCAAGGAAGAGATGTTCTTAGTCAAGCCGATGAAGATGAAAAGGCTAAGTGGTTAGATCAGGATGGAACAGATTGGAGTGGAGCCTTTGGTCAGGATCCTGCACAGTACGTCAATAAAGGTGGTTTCGGACAGAAGTATCAGGATGCTGATTATGAGGCTAGCATGGTACGAAGACCACGAGGAGAGGGTGGTTGTGTTGAAGCGAACCTGAATGAAAATATGAGCGAAGATACGAATACTTCGTCTACATCTTCGGACTCAGACTCGGATGCGGAATCAGATTTAGGCTTGAATGATGCCACGACTAGATCAACAACTGAGAACGGCGGGACGGAGGGAAACAACGGATCGAGCCATTCCAGTAATCCGATCAAACAGTATCAGAATTATAAGGAGAATTCAAAAGGTTTGCATAGAAAGCAGAGGGGACTTATGCAGTGGAAGCCAATGAGGAATTTGGTTTTCGCAAAGGACGAGATGAAGTTTGTGGCAAGGAGAATGAAGAATAAGACGAGTTTGAGTGGTAGACAACCAGATGTTGAGACTGAGACTGGCTGAAGAGGGTTCAGGATCAATGTTTATTTGTTGCAGGACATGGTTTGGCTGCGGAAAAAATGGTTCATCACATGTTTTTTTTCCCTTTTGGGCGGTTGATATGCATTTTGGCGGTACATATGGGCGTTTGAGTTGTGATGTCTTTTGGGAGAGTTGGCAAACAAATGAATAATTAAGCATACGACAGATGCATTATGCGGTTATGAAAACGAAACAACGCGAATTAGTTAGTTGCTCTGGTAGCAGTAATGAAGGAAATATTTCAACAATGTGTCAGTGTACCTACCTGTATACAGAGCGATCTCATGAAATGGCGTGTTAATTCGATGTTGGATTTGTCGATAAAATGTCTCGGTCAGTAGGGGGAGAGGTGGTAGAGACAGGAAACATGGTTTGTTTGCTGATGAGGAAATGATGTAATAGAAAGCAATTGCAGACTCTTTTCGAATGAATATTACTTCGTCGATTAAGATGAGCTGAAACATTCACTTTGCAGTATACACATCACAGAATCAAGCAGGCGGGCAGTGAACAGGTTTCATAGATCCAGCTTTATGTATTTATGAATCTCTATCCTCCATTATCTATCTTTCTATTTCTATAGAAGACACGCTATCGACCAATCATAGCCCTTCATTCCCTTTCCCCATTAACATCATTAATTTTTCTCACTCGATGTGATCTCCGCGCTCTCTCCCTCACTACTCCTCTCCACCTTCTCAATCTGTTCTGGGTGTCCTGTAAGTTTCGTGTCGGGCGCTCTATAATCCGCCGTCTCGTCGAAACGATAAAGGGGCTCTAGCACTGCGTTCTTGTTGAAAAATACATATCGTTGAATCCAGTAGGGGAGGGTTTTGGTGATTTGATATTTCATGAATGTACGCGTGGGGATGGCGAAAATGTAGTCGAGTTCTTCGAGTGTGCGTTGTTTGGTTTCGGGGACGAAGAGGAAGATCATGAAGAACGCGAGGACGTTGAGTCCGCTGTTTTGGGTGTTAGTGGATTGTGTAGTTTGAGTGAAGAGGGTGGGAAACTTACGCGTAAAAGGAAAATGCTCCGACGGGATGGAAGCTTTCCAAGATCTTGGGGAAAGAAATCGATAGAACGGCGGCCCAGAATAAACATGTTGCAACTGCCCAGCCCATTCCAACTTCTCTGTGTGATAAGGGGAACACCTCGGCTGAGTAGGTGAAAGGAACGGGTCCTTCTCCTGGTGAATAAAAGGCAGCAAATATGTAGATAAATGTAGCGATGAGTCCAAGATGCGCTTTGGAACCTTCGGGGATGAGGAAGCATAGACCAGCGACGAGGAGAGACTATGCCATTTGTGGGAAGGTGAACAGAAGTAGAGAACGTCGACCAAAGGTGTCGATGGTCCAAATGGCTGGCCAGCTAGATAAATGATATTAGTACCTTGATGTGGTTGTTCAAAAATTGGGCAAAACACTCAATGGAATTAGGGAAGAGAAAGGACTTACGCAAATACGAAATTCACCAATCCGAATCCAAAACTAGCAATCAACGCATTCTTTTCGGAAGCACCTGCCTGTCTGAAAATGGTCGAAGAATAGAATGCAATGATGTTGATACCACACATTTGTTGAGCAATCATAACGGTGAAAGATGCAAGAGTCGCTCTTCGTACACGCGGAATGGTGAATAACTGAACGAATCTACTGACGTAGTTGGTTTTACCAACGATTGCTGCTTCGATTTTGAGTTGACAGTCGATGAAGTAGAGATCACGAGCCGCGAAAAGATCGTGTTTGCGGAGTCGGCAAAGGGACTTGTAGGCCTTCTGGTATTCTCCTCGTTTCATCAACCATCTTGGAGATTCTAGATTAATCGTTAGCTAATTGAGCAGATTCATGAACTGCATTTACTTACCGGGGCAAAAATAGATTAAGACTGCAAGAGGCAGAGCTGGAATGAATGCAGATCCAATCTGAAGTCTCCATGCGATCTTGCCTGTATCAATGACGACCAAGTTCTGAATGAATGTCAGCTGATGATACTTTATTGAAGAAACAATCAATACTCACTGCAACAAATCCTAAGAAAATACCAAAAGCAGTCCACATTTGCCATGACATGACCAATGCACCTCGAATCATAGCTGGACTGTTCTCCGCAGCGAAGATTGGCACTGTGCTTCCCTTTAGACCCATTCCAAGTCCCAAAATTATACGACTGGCAAAAAGTGTTTCCCAAGACTTGGCGAAAGCTCCTCCGATGGGAGTAAAAATACAAATGATAGCCGCGATGAAAATGGTACCGCGACGTCCGAACCAAGCATTAAATGGATCACTCATCCAACAACCACTGTATAAATCGTCAGTTATAATCATTCATTGTACCGAAAACTAATCTCGACTCACAAGAAAGCAGATCCAATATATGGAGCTGCATTAACCAAACCAACAAGCCAATTATCACGATCATGATTTGGAGAATCTGGGTTATCTCCTTGGCCAATCCCGAATTCTAGTGGAAATGAAAGATTTGCTCCATTACTACCCGTTTGATCCCAACCTTGAACAGCTGCACCAATAGAACAGGTAATAATTGTCAAGTAAAGCGTCGTTGGATGGCTCCATCTATGCGCCGCTTCATATCTTAAAGCCACTTTCTCATCCTCATTCAATCTCCCTACGTTTTCAAAGTTTTCTGGATCGGATGCTATCAAAGCACCTTTCTCTAGTAAAGGAAGGATATGGTTGAGGTTGTTGGTTTGGGCAAATTCTCCTACATCTCGAATGATGGTAGCTTCTGATAAACCTGCTAAAGGATTTTGGATTCTATAGATAGGGAATTAGTAAGAGTTATACTCTCACAAGAGTTCAGCAAAGATAAATAACAACTTACTTGGCAGTAATATTATTATTCAAATCGACATGAGTAGATGGATGAGCATGCTCGACAGTGTCGACATTATCAATTTGGTTCTTCGTTGACGCCATCTTGCAAGATGAAAACGAAGAAGACAATTAGAAAGACTTGGAGAAAGCTGGGCGAAGTAAAAAAGCAAGAAGAAGAAAAATCCAAGAAACGGTGGAAATCATAAGCCTTATAATCTCACTGCCCGTTGGATTTAGGATCATCCAACTTTCCCCTCCATCTCAGAGTTGTAGCTACCTGTACCCAGGTTACACCCTTGTCGCATGCTATTGTGGAGAAATACTTCACTACAGATGCGCATGGATATGCGAATGCACCATAGACATATGATGCTAGGCTCGAACTAGGTAGAAAGATGTTCCAGTCGACTAATCGACCAGCTAGTTACAAGACCTTGCACAGGATCATCAAGCCAGGGTCGGGACGACCGAGCAGAAGACTTTGAAAAGTACCTTAGTTATTCAGTCTATCGGGCTTGGGATTTCAAGGTAGGTTTCAAGGAAATGGGGAAAGCGGCATGCAACGAGCCAATGAAGGAATATGTTACATTGACTAGGCTGAGCTAGGGCGATTTCACATAGATTTGGCGCGCGCCCCGCCCGTCAGCCCCCAGAAGCTTACCGCAACCCCACGGTACAAGATACATGTGTATACAAGGATCATACGTGAGCGCGAGGAAAATTGCCTTCCTTGGCCAAAATTTCAGGAAATAGATCAACATATCATTCCAAAAAACTCGAAGACCAAGACTCGTATTGACTCTCAAGTAACGAGGGCTTGAACTAGGACATATAATCTGGGGATGTGGAGGGAAAGTTTTGATTCTAAAAAGTTTTCGGGCGGAAACAATAATTTGTCAAGATGATCGGCATGTGTTCTAGTATTCCACTGCTGTGCGATGAACAATGCTACGAGGCTACGACGCCGTTCCCGTTTGCGTGTGTGTGCGTGATGATATTTCGAAGAACCGGTGGCGGAAGAATCCTTCACCGAATCGCGAAACTACTTCATGTTAAACGACTCAATGAGGTAGAGATCGTCACATCCAATCCATGTCTTTCTGTCTACCCCATGGAGGTCAAAACCCCAACCAACTTCTCCAATTTCTCCAAGATCTCCACATATTTTCTCCATACCCCAGCAAAATTGCCATTTGTGTTCAAACATGGCTCACCGTACGACGTCTATGTCACCTGTCACTTCATCTCACCAGAATAATCCTTCATCTCTTCGCTTGTATTTTGTCGCCGTTGTGGGGAATTTATTCCAGCGATTCCATGTTATTTGATCTAATCCAAAAGAATCAAAAGTGGCGGTAAGGCTTATCGAACGATCGAAGATGAAGAATGTGAGATCTAATTTGTGTGTTCAAAAACGCCGAGATCAAGCTACGCCGCATTATCGTCATCGCCTTGACGTGACTGTACACTTCACATGGTACAACATAGGGACAAGGTATCCAAGTATCCACACGTGATCAAAGACTGAGCAGTCATCTTGATTCGCTCATGCTTAACCGACCAAGTCTGAACATATGCAAAGCTGACTGTAGCTGGATTCGTATACTGTCCCGAAGAAACGAATCGGTACAATTCTCGGTATATTTGTTCGATTGATCGTATGAGAAGTAGAAATGCAGTTCGTTCGTTGCCGGGCGGAGCAAGCTAATGTCAGAGTCAAAGAAACAAATCGTCGGCCGGACCTCAAAATGCATGGCATGACTTTAGGTTCCACTTCGGTCCAGCCATGCAAATGTTCGCTCCAACCTTGAAGTTGGGAGTTAGCAAGGAATTATGGATAGGTATTGGGCTTGGATTATTTATTTGTGTACAAAATAGCGGGGGTTCCTACTAATAAGTAGCTCGAGAGTGGGTAGGAAAAAGTGTGGGGTATTGGCATATGACAAAAAGAAGACGAAGATTAGTATAACGTGTTTTATCATCATGTGGGCCATATCATTATGTAAACCATTTTCACCCCAATTCATATCTTTAAATCTATATTATTCAATAACAATTGAATTAATTAATTAAAACTATTAAGAATCTTATAATCTAGGATTTATTATATCATTTTAATAGATTCTTAAATTATAATCTAGCTTTCCATATTTACTATAACATCAACTAAAAAATACTTTTCTATTAAAATTCCTTTTTTTTAATACTTATTATATCGAATTTGAATATTAATCTTTTATTAAAATAATATATCAAAAGTCTTTTATTCAATAAACACTTCTCCTTAATATAATTAAGTTTTTTTATGTATTAATGTTTATTTAATATTTTATTTGTTATTTGAAATATACAAATCTCTATATTCAAAAATATATTCTTATAAGCTAATCTCTTTATACCTTTAATTAAAACTAATATAATCTCAAATATAAATATAAAGAAACTTGATTAATGATGAATTATTCGAGATTTTATTAATATTAATTAAAAAAAAACTTTAATTGGATTACAAAAGATTTGAAAGATCTATTGATTTAGATTAAAAGAGAGGAAATGGGGAATGGGTATACGAATTCGAATATCTAATTTCGAAAATACAATTTCAAAATTAAATAGAATTAAATCTATTTCTCGAAATCCTAATTTTATATTCTAAAAAATAATTAATTCTTTATATATAGTTTTAAAAGCTATAAAGAATTCAACCTTTGAAATATAATTAATATATATTTTAATAAATCTATCAATTTAAATATTATATAAACATTTTAAAATATTAAAATAATTTATATTAAATAATTGAATTAAATGATTTGAATATATTAATAAACATAAATATACAATATCGTTTTTTTTATAATATATTTGAATGTCAGGGTACGAGTAAAGACTTATATTGTACTATAAGGATAGAAGAGCTATGAAAGAGTGAGGCCCTACTTATAAGAGATAGAGTACGCTAATAATCTATACTTAAGGTATAAAGATAATTATAGAATATATAGTTAGTATTATAATAATACTTTTTACTCAAAATAATCAATTTATAATTATAATCAAAATACTCTAATTTCTATTATTAAATTAAAATAAATCTTTTTAAAAACAATAATTAATTAATAAAGTTTTTTAGATCTATTTCAATTTTATTTCAAGAATATATTTAATATATTTAATATAAATATTAATAAAGAATTAATAAAATTAGAAATAATAGATTTTTTGAAATCTATTTAAATTAATAATTCTAATTTATTTGGATTTATTAAATAAAAGACAATAATTATATTTTCCTAATTATAAAGATTTTTAATAAATTATTAAAATATTAAATAGTATTTTTATTTGATTTAATAATAAAATCTATTTTTATTATAATAATTGAGAATTTCTTTGAATTCTTATTATTCAATTTCTTTATATATTTTATTATTCTTTTTAAGAATTTGACCTTGATTTTTATATAATTTAATAATATTAATAATATCCTAATCTAATAATTCTAATAAATTATAAAGTAATTGAATAATAAATATAAAATATAAAAAGATCTTAAAACTAATTAAAAATTGAATAGATAGGTATATTTACAAATTTTAAGAATTTTATAAAAACTATTTTATTTGTTATTATTTTTTTTTTATTAAATAATTAGTTTTTATATTTTTTATATTTATTTATATTTTATTATTTTTTTTTATATAAAAAAATAATAATATAAATTTATTAATATAATTTTTATATTTTTGAATTAATTAAACTATAAATACTTTTAATTTAATTAAAATGAGATTAAATCGATTTGTAATCTTATTAATTTTAAGAAACTTTTATTTTCTTTAATATAATAGATTTAATAGAATAGATATGGATAGTTTAATATTAAAATATGGGTGGAAATTATAATTAATAAAGAATAGAATATATTGATAGTTTTTGATATAATATTATTTAATACAAATTCTATGAATAGAAATTAATCAAACTAATTATTCTAATAAAAGTTTATAAAGATATAAAGATATTATTTAATTATAACATTAATTCTTTTTATTTAATTATCAGATTTGGGGTAGAATAAGGAAGATTATTTTAAAGTAATTAATAAATATTTAAATAAATATTTCCAAAATTCAGAAATAAATTATAAGTTTTTATTGAATATAATATTATTGAATATATTATGTAAGTAATAGATCTTTTTAATAAATCAATCTATAAACTTTTTTATAAATAGTTTTATAATTAATATAAAGTATTGCATTTTGATTAAATAATAGATAATTATAATAATATATTAATATTTTTTTTTATAATATTTACTAATTAATAACAGTATAATATAATTAATAGAGATATCAGATTAGGAATAAAATAATATTAATAATAATTTAAAGAATCTGAGTATAATGAAATAAAAAGCTTTTATTTGAAAATAGAATTAATAAACTTATATAAATATTTTAATTTTTCTTGATATATTAAGTTATTAATATATATAGGAAATAAGATTAATAGTTTTGATATAATTAGAATATTTAGTTAATTTAATTGTATATATATTCAGTATATAATCTATATATAAAGTTTAATGAAAGAGGGAATAAAAAGATAATTATAATAAAAGATCTTATTATTTATTAATTTATAATTTTATAAGATTATTTAAAAATCTTTTCGAATTCTTAATAATTAATAATAAATAAAGAGATTTCTAAGTATTATATATATAATAATAATCAATTTAGATAATTCATATATTTTGTTAATAAGGTTATTAATTGGCTTATTAGTATTAAGAATAATTATCTTTATTAGGATTATAATTAGATCTAAATCATTATTTATTTATTAAATAATATCTTTGAATATAATAGTATCAAATACTTTTCTAAAAGGATTATTTATAAGCAGTTTTTAATTCAATTATTATTAGAATTGATATATATTAAGCAATTTTCTATTTTATAATTTAAAATATTGAAATAAATAACTTTATAATTAAATCGATATATAATATAAAAATTAAATCTAAATAAAAATTTAGTTTATTTAATTTATTATTAATTTAATATTTTATTAATATAAAGTATTTAAGATTC